GGTATATGAAATATACAAAATAAAATATAAATATTAAGAATTTATATAATGGGCTGAATTTTTATTCTTCAAAATTCTTATGTTGAAGCCCTAATCCCTCATACCTCAAAATGACTGTAGGATTTAGAGATAAGGTCCTGAGAGAGGGAATTAAGTTATGAATTATTAGACTGAGCCCTAATCAAATATGACTGATGTCTTTATAAGAAGAGTAAATTAGGACACAGATATGTAGAGGAATCTCCATGTAAAGATACAGGGAGACAACAGTCATCTGTAAGCCCAGGAGAATGGCTTCAGAAGAAAACAATCCTGCCAACCCCTTGATCTCAGGCTTCCAGTTCCAAAATTGTGACAAAATAAATTTCCATTGTTGAAGTCTCTCAGTCTATTGTACTTTGTTATGGAAGTCCTTGCAAATACAATATTCACTGTAGTATATAAAACAAAATTCATTTTACAGTTTTCACATTTAACATTAGTAACCTTGCTCATCATTATAAACCCCTTGCCTAAACCAATACCGTGCACATAGAAAATGTTCAATAAACACGAACACAATAAATTACTTAACTTCTAAAGAGAAATTTCTAGTTTATGCCAAAGAAAAACATTATTTAACATTGTAGAAATATAAATACATTGGAATTAAGTTGTTGCCCAATTCATAAATAATATGGTAATTTATTCTAAAAGTTTTTATTATTGTTATTTTCTTACTCTGTTGCTTCCATTAATGCTTATTAAAACAACAACACCTATGAGTGTGTGAATAATGCTGAATAAGACCCCAGAGCTTCTGAAGGCTGTTTTGATTAAGGCATTAAATAGGCTGACTTGAGCACTGGCTAATGCAGCTCAGTTGATTGGGCGTCATCATTGCATCCGGGGGTTGCCAGTTGATTCCCGTTAGGGCACATGTCCGGGTTTGCAGCAGTAAAGGGTGTGCAGGAGGCAGCCAAAGGATATTCATTCTGACATCAATATTTCTCCCTCCCTCTCTAAAAGTCAATAAATTTTAAAAAGCAAGGCTGACTTGAACCCTAAAATATTAAGGATGGGAAAAGACCAGTCAAGCAGCATTATTCAAAGGAAAGCAGGACTGGCTATATTAATATCAGAGAAAGAAGTAGATCAGTGCAAAGAAAATTACCAGACAGAGAGGGAAATTGTATAATGATCAAAAAGTCAATGCACCAAGAAGATATAACAACTTAAGAAGTATATGTACCAAACAATAGCTCAGCAAAACATGTGAGGTAAAAATAAAAAAGAATTGAAAAAGATTTAAAAATTCAAAATTACATTTGTAGACTTTAATGACCTCTTCAATAAGTGTTAAACAACTACAGAGAAAAACAACAGATATAGAATAACTCAATAACACCATCAAACACAATATCTAATCAACATTTATAGAAAGCCTCACCCAACAACAGTAGAACACATTCTTTTTTAAGAATCCATGGAACATAGCCATGCTAGGTCATATGCAGTGCCATAAAAAATAATAATAATTCAAATCATATATAATACATTTTTCACTTGCAATAGAATCAAACTAGAAATCAAATTTTACAAGTTAACAGGAATACCTCAAAACTCTTGGAAACTAAACACATTTCTAAATAATCTATAGGTTAAAGAGGAATGCTAACAGAAATATTAAAAATACATTAAGCTACATAAAAATGAAAATAAAACATCAAATTTCTGAGACACAGCTAAAACAGTGCTGAGATGGAAAGTACGGCATTAAAAACATGCATAAGAAAGGAGGAAAAGTATCAAATAAATAATCTAAGTTCCCACTGCAAAAACCCAGAAAAAGAATAGCAAAATAAACCCCCAGCAAGCAGAAGAAAAGAAATAATGAAGAGTAGAAATTAATGAAATGAAAACAGAAAAACAGTTGAAAAAAACAATAAAACACAGCAATGGTTCTTAGAAAGAAATCAATAAAATTAGCTACTCTCTAGGAAGACTAACAAAGTAAATAGATTAAAAATTACCAATATTAGAAATTGAACAGAATCTTTCTATAGATACCCATAGACATCAAAAGGATAAAAAGGGAATACTACCAACTCTATATACATACATTTGACAACTCAGACAAAACGGACCAATTCCTTGAAAAAATTACATGAATTCCTATCAACACTATACTCAAAATGTTCCCAAACTTCAGCCTCTTTTAAGTTCCTCTGCCTCTCCCACCCTGGTTCAAGCCAACATCATTTTGTGCTTAGATTATTATAATCATTTCCTATATTGTTGCTCTGCTTCCATGCTTATTCTCTATAATTTACTCTCCACAAAGAAGTCAGAGGGATCCCATTAAGAAATTAGGCTAAATCATCATAGTCTTCTCTCCAAAGACCTCCAATACTCCCATTTCACTCAGAGAAAAGGCCAATATAATTACAATGATGAACAAGGCCCTACATGATCTGAGCCTTAGTACCTTTCAGACTTAGTCTCTTACCACTCTTCCCTTCATTCACTGCTACAGCCACACTGCTCTCCTAACATACCAGGCATGACCCTCCTAAAGACCGTTTGTCAAGTTGTTCCCTCTGCATGGAACATTCCAGAAATCTGTATTGCTAACCCCCTCACATGTTTCAAGTCTGCTTAGATTTTACCTTTTTAATAGGCCTAACCTGACTATTCTATTTAATATCACATCCTGACACCAACACCATCTTACACATGCTGTCACATTTCATATTTTCTTTACCTAGAACTATATTTTTTTCCTACAGAGCTTAATATTGTTTTACCAGTTATGAATTTTATTAATTATGGTATTTGTTGTCTAGCTTCCCTCAGTAAAATGTGAGCTCCATAAGAAAGAGGCCTTTTTTCCTACAACTCTGCTTACCACATAATAGGATATCTAAAAACATTTGCTGAATGAATGAATTCTGATTTTAGTATTACCATTATTATTCGTATGTCCTCAAAAATAAGCAGGCCAAATATTATATTCACTAATTCTACACTTTGTTTTCCAAGCTCAGCAGTCTACTGAATCCATAGTTATTGAAAAATAATATACTTTTATACTTAACAGAAAATTCATATTTATTTCTGATAGTTCTATATCTTACTCGTATTAACACTTGCTTTCCTGTTCTTTTTGCTCAGAAGAACAGAGTCAAACACAAAAGTGAAACTCACAAGGTGTGGAAAGATTACCCTGGGTATCATAATTATTGTGATTGCTGTAGTAATCTTCGGACTCATTATTCATTTCGTCACTTATGGTAAGTACTCATGATATCTGGCTTTCCAGTCACATGAATTTAATTTCTCATTATTGGAAAGTTAGGAACTTTGAGAATAGGAGAAGGAAAGGAATCAGATAAGACTATTTGACAGAGATAATTTCTTATGGTTAATAACATTTACTGCAGTCTTCGTTCTGTAGCGACTTTTGGCTTAGGGCATTCTGAATCCAGAGATGTGGTATGATCTTTTTTTTTTTTTTAATTCCTGGTAAAGATTTAGGTGCTCGGAGTACATTCATTCATTCATTCATTCATTGTTGAATTAATAAGTTTTGAAGAGATAATCAATGAGTTAACAAATAAATATAAAAGCCTACAACCTAGATTTCTAAGCTAGATTTCTTATCCCAAAGCCTATAATAATTCTCTATATACAATGATTTCTTTTCATAAAATTCTCTCTAAAAAAGTCAAGTATTTTCCATTAATGAGGGATGAAAAAAAAGAAACAGTAAAATTTTTTCTATATATTTTTCTTTTACTGACTGGCTTATTTCACTTAGCTTAATGCTCATAAAATTGAAAAAAAAGTATGGGATCCACAGATTTGATGTTTTCTTAAAATGGCTCTTTGTGCCAACTCCTCTGTGTCCTGTGCTTATTACTTTCTTTCATCCACTCATTCCTAACCTTTTCAAGGATAAGGACTTCTTTATAAAAAAAAATTCCTACATTCCCACAAGAAATTATCACATTTATTGATTGGTAAATCTCACTTGATCAACATGTATAATCCTTTTAATATATTGTTCAATTCAGCTAGCTAGTATTTTGGTGAGGATTTTTGCACCTATACTCATCAAAGATATTTGTAGTTTTCTTGTGTTCTTATCAGCTTTGGTATTAGGGTAATGCTGGCCTCATAAAATAAGTTTAGAAGTATTCCCTCCTTTTCTCTTTTTAGCCAATTTTGAGAAAGACTGATATTAAATCTTCTTTACATGTTTGGTAGAATTCATCAGTGAGACCACGTGTTCCCAGGCTTTTCTGTATTGGGAGGTTTTTTTATTACTGTTTCAATCTCCTTACTCATTATTTATCTGTTCAGATTTTCTATTTATTGATGATTCAGTCTTGGAAGGGTGTATATTTCTCAGAGTTTATCTATCTTTTTCTTTGCTACTGTTTTTTAGCTTAAAGTATATTTTGTCTAAGTATAGCTAACCCAGCCTGGGTTTGTTGTCTTTCTCATCTCTAACAATTTAATTCAAGAAAAAACTCTGTCTTGTTTTACTTTGCATTTCTTTATTTGTGAGTGTGCAGGAAAGATTTTCTCCAAATAATTAACTTCACTAACATGAAGGATCTTCTCAGTGTTACAAAATGCTTTTATTTCTCCGTCTCTTTCTCTCTTCTGTCTTCTCTCTCTCTCTCTCCTCTCTCCTCTCCCCTACCCCCCAGTCTGTTAAGTAGTGGGGCACAATGGCACCTGAGCATGGTTACAAAAGAGTTTGGATTTCTATCTTATTTGATGTACTAAAATAGTACAGTCTAAATACAAAAGCAATCCTGAGAAAAAAGAATGAAGGCAGAGGTATCACATTCCCTGGATTCAAATTATAATACAAAGTGATGATAATCAAAAAAGCATGGTATTGGCAGAAACACAGAACAATGGAACAGAACTACTTAGAGTCCAGAAATAAACCCAGATGTATATGGGCAAATAATTTTTGACAAAGAAGCCTAAAATATGAAATAGAGAAAAGAAAGTGTCTTCAATAAATGGTGCTGGGAAAACTGGAAAACCACATGCAAAAGAATGAAACTAGACAGCTGTTTGTCCCCATGTACAAAAAATAATTTAAAATGAATCAAATACCTAAATATAAGATCTGAAACAATAAATTACATAGAAGAAAACATAGGTACTAAACTTATGAATGTTGGTTATAGAGAACATTTTATGAATTTGACCCCAAAGGCAAGGGAAGTAAAGACAAAAATAAATTAATGAGACTATATCAAACTAAAAAGCTTTGGCACATAAAAAGAAACCAACAACAAAACAAAAAGGCAACCAACTAAATGGGAGATGATATTTGCAAACAACAGTTCTGACGAGGGCTTAATATCCAAAATATATAAAGAACTCATAAAACAACACTAAACAAACAATCCAACTAAAAATTGGGCAGAGCATATGAACAGATACCTCTACCAAGAAGACATACAAACAACCAACAGATATATAAAAGATGTTCAAATCAAAGCTACAATGAGGTACCACCTCACACTTATTAGAAAGACTATTATCAACAAAACAAATAGTAACAAAGATTGGAGCGGTTGAGGAGAAAAAGGAACCCTCATTCGCCACTGGTGGGAATGTAAATTGGTACAGCTACTATGGAGAACAGTGTGGAGGATCTTTAAAAGATTAAGCATAGAGTTACCATATAACCCAGTAACCCCTCTTTGTATATCTACCCCAAAAATTTCAAAACATTTATTCACAAAGACATATGCACCCCTATGTTCATTGCAGCATTATTCAAGGTAGCCAAGACATGGAAATAACCAGTGTCCTTTGATAGATGATTGTATGAAAATGTGGTACATACAGGGTGGGGCAAACGTGGCTTTTCAGTTGTTTGTATGGAAAATAATACAATAATTAATAAATAATAACACATCTATGTTTTATGTACTCATAACTGTAAACCTACTTTAGCTTACCCACTATACACAATGGGATACTATTCAGCCATAAGATGAAATACTGCCATTTGCAACAACATGTATGGACCTTGAGAATATCATGTCAAGCAAAACAAGTCAGACAGAAAAAGTTAAAAATCATATGATTTCACTCATATGTAGGATATTAAACTGAAAGCAAGAGATGAACAAATAAGAAAAACAAACAAAAACTCATAGACACAGACAACAGTATGGTGGTTACCAGAGGGAGGGGGGATGGAGGGTAGTAGAGGGTAAAGGGGGTCAAATATACAGTGATGGTGAAGGAAGATTCTTTGACTTTGGGTAGTGGGTAATAGTGCAATATGAATATTATGTATCATAGAAATGTACACTTGAAACCTATATATTCTTATTAACCAATGTCACTCCAATAAATTTAATAAAAAGAAAATAATTACTCAATAGTTTTGCAATAAATTATTTTATTTTATTTTTAAATATATTTTTATTTATTTCAGAAAAGGGAGAGGCATCAATGATGAGAGAGAATCATTGATTGGCTGCCTCCTGCACTCCCCACACTGGGGATCAAGCCCGCAACCTGGGCATATGCCCTGACCACGAATCAAACCTAGTTCATAGGTTGATGCTCAGCCACTGAGCCATGCCTGCCAGGTGCAATAAATTGTTTTATAACGAACTTTCTAAAAAATAAATAAATAAAATAGTAAAGCTGGCAGTCTAACCGTCAGCTTTATGGTTTGCTTTACTTTCTGAAAGTTGTAAGTTTGATTTCTTTGTTCTGTTTACTCAATTTGCAGTACTTACAAGTCATCCCTCATTTTACTTTCCTCTTTATTTATTTTCATTTCTTAGGTACTTCATAAATTATTAAACCTGAGACTCCACTGATTTTCCAAAATGTAATCTGTGATGATCACAAAAACTAAAAATTATCTATACTTTAATATAATTTCATTTCATAGTTACACATCTGTCTTCAGATTGCCCAAACTTGAAAGCTGGCACATTGAAATTTTACCTTAAAAATTCTGATAACATTCTTGGGTGAAGTTATAATGTAATAAACATTCCTCTGTCAAAGTTATTTCAACAGTCACTAGGAATCAAGATTATTTAAATGTCAAGTTACCTGAAATTTTATCAGAGTATTATATTTCATATGTTATTTCTTAAGAATAAAAGCAGTGCCCTAACCGGTTTGGCTCAGTGGATAGAGCGTTGGCCTGCGGACCCAAGGGTCCCAGGTTCAATTCCGGTCAAGGGCATGTACCTTGGTTGCGGGCACATCCCCAATAGGGAGTGTGCAGGAGGCAGCTGATCGATGTTTCCCTCTCATAGATCTTTCTAACTCTCTATCCCTCTCCCTTCCTCTCTGTAAAAAATCAATAAAATATATATTTTTTAAAAAGAATAAAAGCAGTTACATAATGAACTATGCTAAGTGAAATAGCCAATCATAGAAAGACAAGTACCATATGATTGAACTCACGTGGAATTTAATGAACAAACTACCAAGCAAAATAGAGAAAGATTCATAGATAGGGAGCAGCCAGACAGCTCTGGTTAAGGAGAGGGTATAGGAGGGGGAGGGGTGGAGGGATTGAGAAAAAAAGAGAGAAAGAACTCATGGACATGGACAACAGTATGGTGATTGTGGGAGGGGGGAAGGTGGAAGAGGGCATAGAGAGGTTAAATGATGATGGAAAAAATAAAATAAAATAATTTTTAAAATAAATGTAGTTACACAATGATCAAAGTCAGAACTATTTTTTCTTTTTTCTCCTCAGGGAAAACATCTTGCTATTATCACATCAGCTTTAAAGTCAATAATGTTGACTATGACAGAAAGTTTGAAAAACCATATTCACAAGAATATATGGACCTAAATAAAAGGATAGTGTCTTTGGTAAGTTAAAATGTTTTTCTGTGCATTGTCTTTTTAACTGCTGTGCTCCTAGAAATACCAGAATCCTAGTAATCACCTTCCAACTTGGAATTTAATAATTCATAAATTCACAATGTTTCTTACCACTATTTTAGTTCTAGATTAGGACAGTCAGCTCTTTCAGAAAGTAAGTTTCTGTCTTGATTCAAAAGTTTTCCACAACCCATAAGAGAAGTGTATTCAGTTTCCTAGAGAATCTTTTCCCCTACTTTTAAGTTTTAATCTACATGGAAATAGTTTTAATATAAGGTAGGGGGCCAACTTTATTTTATTTTAGCTATAGATAGCTAGTTGATCTGGCACTACTTATTAAATAATCTAGTTTATCCCAATGATTTAAAAATGCCGCTCTTGTTAAGTCCTAAATCCTCATATATTCCAGGATCTATTTTTGGATTTTGTATTGGACTACACAGTAATTGCATAGTATTTCTTTCCCATACCTTTATTTTGAACAGTATTTCATCCCTTTACTTACGAGTATGATGCTTTTAAATAATAGATAACTAGATTTTGTTTGTTAATGCAACTTAATAGATTCTTTCATGACATTTTTGTCTATTCTCATTCCTTCCAACTTCAAATGTTATAAATGAAATTTCTGATTCTATTTTTCTATTAATATATATTTTTTCCTAAATAGAAATTTGTCAAAATTTTTCTTTATATCTAAAATTCAAGAATATTTCCCAGATGCATCAAACATGCCTGAAATAAGTCTATTCCTTTGAATCTACAGGTTTTTATCTTTATTTAATTCAGAACCATTTCCTCCCACTATTTATTATTATTATTATATGTCATCCACCCCTCTTTTTTTCTCATTTTATACTCCTATTATTTATAGCCACTTCTGGAATCATATCCTAAGTGGGGGTTTTTACACCCATTATTTTATTTTGATGATCACCTAATCTGTTTTATTTCCTTTTTCTGGCAGCTAGACTCCTTTATTTGCATTACCATTTTTCCTGTTGGCTTATTGGGGCCACTGTTTTGTTATTAGAGATAGTCCTACAAGTTGGGAAATGAGATTTTCTTACATCCTATAGGCTGAAGGTTGGGCAGCAGGCATGCTTCATACCAAAGCCCAGAAGGAAGTCTTCCAGCTCCCCATTTTCTGCCCACCATACTAGCTTAGTCTCAGGAGCAAGGAATCTTCAGTTTTGCAGTTTCTTCTTAGAGGCAGTGAAAACCCACTCACATGGTCCAGTGTCACCTTAATCCCTGGGCATCCATGCATCTCAGTTAGCCAATCTCTTCCCAGGGCCTGTGTGATTCTATCTTTGCACAGGGTTCTCAGGTTGTTCTCTAGGTTCTTCTTGGCCCATGGAAAAGAAGGTTCCTCATCACCTCCCTGCTCCCAGGATTCCCATTAAGCCCAAACCCACTCAACACCAGGAAAGGCAGGTATATTAAAATGGAAGTAGAAGAGAAATATGACATAATTTAGCTATCTTCTTGTCAAGATTCTTCCATTCGCTATATTTTATGAATTACATCCAAAACCCTTATCATGGCCAACAAGGTTCTCTATAATCTTGTCCCTACCTACGCAGACAACCTCAATTTATATACTCTCTCCCTTACTCACTTTACTAGAGTCACAACAAGTTTGCTTCTATCCCTCAATTATACCAATCTCATTTTTCCCTAGGAACTGCACTTTCCTCCATCCAGAATACTCTTCTCCCCTTGACTGTCAACTTTTCATCTTTCAGGTTTCACTCAAATACCACTTCAAAGAGGCCTGACTTGATCATTCCCATGACTCCATTATTTACTTTAGTTTATATTTTTATATCACCTAATACTATCTCAGATTATCATATTTACTCCTTGGTCTGCTTGTTATCTATGTTCTCTTTTGAATCTCTAAAAAAGAATGGATCTATCTGATTAGTTCATAGTTTTATTTCAACATATATTTATATTTATTGAATACATGAACACATTCCAATTGCTTTGGAGCATGAGGAAAATGTAATTTCAATCGCTGCAATTCCAATATTGAGTCAGTTTTTGAAGGCCAGTCTTTGCAAAAGTAAAAGTCATAGGCAGTGCAATTTGTTGTCTGGTGCTCTGTAAGGGTCCTACAGTGGGAAATCATCCATCAGGCTGAGATAGGAGCACCTGAGAAAATGATTCATAAAATTTCTCTGAGAGACTTCTACATATCCCATTTTGAACCCATCAGTAGCATGTTATTTAAACATCAGGCAAAAATGGTTTGCAGTCCAATCATGAACGAAGGCTGCCATTGGAAAAAAAAAGGAAAGAAAAGAAAGAATAAAACATCTCCTTCTGGGGACATTTCTGTCAAGTTTTATGACATTGATACTCAATGAAAGGCTGAACATAGAAGATAAAATCTATTAGTTGGTCTTTTGAATTCACCTCTCCAAAATGAATATTCTGATGTATCATGCTACAGTTAGGAACAAATATATTTATTCAACTGTGCCACATAATTCTTTTTATTTAAAGACATTTGTGAATGAACTGAGCCAATATGAAGATAATTTTCAAAAAGATATATATTTAACACATTGCATCTTTTTCCTAAATGAGTCATGATCTGGGGAAATTTTAATACTATGTATTTGATGATATTAAAGAATTAGTTAATTCCTGGGATGTAGGTAGTAGTAAAATGAAACTGGTTTGACCATTTATTAATAACTGATAAAGCTGAATGATGGGTACATGGGTTTTTTTACACTATTCTATCTGCTTTCATGTATGTTTGAAGTTCTTCACAATGAAAACTTAAAATAAAAAATAAAACATAATCATTATGCATTTTACTTTTTAACAGATAAATGAAACATTTCATGGATCAAAACTGAGAAGACAGTATGTCAAATCCCATGTTGTCCAAGTAAGGTATATAAAATAGCATGAGAGGCGCTAAGAAAAAAAAGTTCTGTCCTTCTGTTTCTTATCTCATACTCAGCAGAATATCTTTGCTTGGTATACAATTAAAGGGTTCAAACAAATTTGAATTCGGGGCTTCAAAACAACTAGCATTTTCAAATGTGAAAAATAAAAGGTATTCAAGGTCTATTGAGAAATTATTGAACCAGAATCAGGAGTTCCAGATTATTGTAAGTTTCAAGTAGAGATTAAATGGGTGTGTGTGTGTTTTAAATATAAGGCCCAAAATAAAAAAGTACATTTATAATCAGGAGATTATTTCAAGCTAAGGAAAGAATGGGTAAGGTAAGAGAGCCATGTACAGAATGCCTGACCCAGGAGTCATAAACTAGTAGCTAATGGGGTAAATCCCAAATGTAAAAGTTAGAAAATTTCACATAAAAAAAAAGAATTTTTAGAATGTTGAAAAATCAAAAGATCTAACAACACAGCCCACATTCCCACATGGTAATAGTACACCAAAACTGAGGCTGCGTGGTTTGCCATGATGTATGCACATGTATTTACACCCAACAAGCTTCATTCTTTTACCTTACCCTCCTGCCCCTCTAAAAATCCAAGTCTACAGCTGTTTTCTAGCAGTGAAGATGTTTTATCCAAATACTGGGAAGGAACAGATAACCTGCAAGAGATAGGAAAAGAATAATAACTACAAACAGAAATAGAAATGTTAATATGCTTTGGAATCTACCTCTCCTTAAAACTAGCACACTTAACCAGTGACCCTTTCCCCTGGAACTTTTTATATATTAACCCATTTAACCTGATAATAACCCTGTGTGGTTTTATATATAAGTTTCCATTCTATAGATGAGGAAACTGAAGTAAAGGAAGGCTAAGTGACTTGCCAAGGTCACACATTTAATAAATACTAGAGCTGTAGGTTGAGCCCAAGCAGGTATATCTAGATTATTGCATCAACTTGTGTAATCTTCAGCTTTCACTCTTGCTCCACTACAATCCATTCCCCACACTGCAGTCAAAGTGAATTGGAAAAGCATATAATCCCCCTACTTAATATCATCTGATCATTTCCTACGATTTCCAAACTCCTAATATAGTCCACATGACCCTACCTGACCTGGCCCTGCCTCTCTCTGACCTCATCTCATACCCTTGACTTCACCCATAACTTTATACTCACACTACTGACCTGCTATTATTCTTCTAATAAACATGCAAAATTGCATCATTGGCTTTGCCCAAAGAAAACTAAACTCATGTCTTCATGACAGGAGGTGGTTTGACAACTTGGAGTAAGGTGCCCATCCAGGTTAGGCTTTCACCTTCCCCCTGAAACTGAGAGATAGAGAGGCTACCATCTTTGATGGTTACTAGACCTGAGAAACCATAGATGGCTTTCCGGGGCTTGAGAAATACATTTCTGGGTTAAACTGCAAGAGCCTTTTGAAAAATTTACTTATAACTCACTCCAAGGAGCAGAGAAAGAATTTACATTTACAAGTTTTCTAGAGTAAGTGATCTAAAAACAGGGCTATCAGGGGCCTAGAGTCAAAAAGAAGTCTGTCAGACATTTAATAAAATGAGGGGAATGTTAAGGCTACTTTGGGCAAGGTTTTTACAGTTGATGTTCCTTCTTTCTGGAACATTCCTCCCTCAATCTTAGCATGACTCAGTCCTCGTTACGAGGCTTTTACTTCAAAGAAGATTTATATAATGTTCCCATATCTACCCTTCAAGTCATTGCTCTATTTTCTTCATAGAATTTACCATAAAGATTATTTATTTCTTTGTTTTCTTGTTTATCTGTCTCTCTTTCTAGTTCATGCTAGCAGGGATCTTGTGGTCTTATATGAGCTAAGATAGTACCTAGAACTATGTATGGGCATATTGCCTGAACTAAATTAATACATGTCTGTTAAATGAATCAATGTATGAATGAATGAATGAATGAATAGAAAGTTCAGGAATGTAAAAGAAAATAAGCATTTGTCATATAAAACTAAAGAGTATTTTATGAGTCAAGAAAAGGTAAAATTAAAATAACTTTTATTTCATTTTTTATTAGAAAAGAGGATCATTTTACCCTAATGATGTCAGCTTAATAATCCATATGTCTACATTTAGTTTAATTTTAGATTGTTATTTGACACAGAATGAAGAGTCAAAGTGACACCTATGGTTTGACAAAAATCTTTAAAATAAACAAAGTAATACAATATGTCCTTGCCTATTGCATTAGAAATAAAGTGTTTGTCTCTATAGATCAGACAAGAAAAGAATAGCATTGTACCTGCATAAAAGTATACTTAATAAATTGGCAAGTAATAACTAATGCTTAATACTGTATAAAGGAAATAAAAATAATTCACATATAGCACTCAAAGTAAGAGCATATGCATACATACTCTAAAACATAAATAAGGAGTGATATAAAAAATAAGCTAATCCTTTAATTTAGAATTATCCTGGAAAAAAATTGTTAAAATAATAGGCTTTATAACCATTTTAATCATGGATATTGACCATGGTTTCTGTTTTTGTTCATGAGTGTTATGAAGGTTTGGAAGTGGATGTTTTCAGGATCTTTTTTTAATATATTTTTGTAGATTTCAGAGAGGAAGGGAGAGGGAGAAAGAGAAACATCAATGATGAGTGAGAATCGTTGATCAGCTGCCTCCTGCATGCCTCCTATTGGGGATCAAGCCTGCAACCTGGGCATGTGCCCTTGACCAGAATCAAACCTGGGACCCTTCAGTCCTTAGGCCAACTCTCTATTCATTGAGCTAAACCGCCTAGGGCCAGGATCTTTCTTGAGTCTCATAAAGCTTTCGGTGGTTGTAGGTTTTCATATGCACATATTCAGAGACATACCTAAAGAGGTAAGGAGACACAGAAACAGAGAACAGAGCGGAAGAGACATTCCCCAGAGTCACTGGTAGTTACCCCTTTTTAAATTTCTGGTTTGTTTATTTATTTATTTTTACTTTGTTTATCTTATGTATTTGCACCTTCAAGTCAGAATTATAAATTTAATAAATCTGGTATAAATTTTTTACTCAGTCATGATTTCGAACAGGTGAGAGAGAATTGGCCCACCCTGGAAAATTCTGCCCTCGCTTTAAAAAAATGAGAATTAATGATTCTAACATCTTACCTGTTACATTCACTTTTATACTAGCTATTGGCCCTTTATACAGAGTCTGTACTGGATTTATAATACATAGATGCATTTATATTAATAAGTAATTTTTACACAATACTCTAAAATTTTCAAAATACCTCCATATACATGATCTAATATGGTGTTTACAATAACCCAGTAAATAATATTCCATCCCTATTATAGATATGAGGAAATTTAAGTACTGAAAATGCCAACAGCTTGCTATAATCAAGAAGGTGGCAAATAGTAAATCTAGAATACAAATTCAGTTCCCCTGAGTCTAAATCACATTGTCTTTTCTGTTCACCATGTCCAGAAAGTGCCATTTCCATGCCCTTGGGAGAAACTGAAATAGTTGCTAGGAGCTCTGCTTAACAAAGTATGCAATGACTCTGCTAAGAATGATAGAGGCTCAGTAAAAAGCTGAATTTATTTGTCTGCTTCTGTTCTGCAGCAGAGCCAAAGGGAAAGTGATAATACATTCTGTGCTGAAGTTTATATTCTGCTTTAAAAATAAGGCAGCAAAATTTCGGGATAGGATCGAAACCATTTTATATCAGAAGTTAAATGGTGAAACTGGGTGTTTAAATATAGATTCTTCTTCATTGAGAGTCTCAGGTAAGCATTTTTCTGTATGGTATATAGAGTGATTTTCAACTTTTAATTTGAATATGGTATTTTGATATGCAAATGAAAACAACACTTCTCTCTTTAAAATATCATTTTATATACAATGATAATTATCTTTAATCACTGATTAAGTATTCAAGGTTCATTTTAATCAATTTGTTTATATAATATCATCTTGCATTATTGAAATTAAACCTTATTTGATTATAATTTTTTTTAAGTAACCAGGTTCCCAAATAATGTTTCTTTGCAACATAAGGCAGCCTTTAACTCTGAAACTATTATGACTTGTTCTGTGGGTCATGATTTCTTCCTCCATTCTTTTGGATATCACAAGAATCTAGACTCCTAAATTCCAGAATTGAGTTTGAATCTCTTTAACATCAAACTTCTTTATACGCCTTTAATGGACTTTGTCTCTCACTCTTTCCCACAATCTTATTCTTATTCTCAGTCACCTAACACTATTGTAAAAGGCAACTTCTAAAAAGTAGGAACAAATGTTCCACCATTCTCTGGTCTTGATAAAAGTACAGTTAACATTTGGCACAGCTAAGCCATGCTATCAGTTCTTTGGTCCAACAAATTTGACCAAGGACAGAAAAGTATCCCTACCCTTAAAGGAAGGACTACATGTTTGTGAAGGGTGTGGGGGGAGAGGAGAAGAATCTCTAGACCAAGGGTTCACTTGCATGGAACATCAAAAGGCTTAAAAAACACAAAACCTGAACATACATCTCCTGAATATGGAGTACCATGTGTTTGAAATATGACTCTTCTCCAATTATTTGATACTTTCTTTTATAACCTTTCTTATCATACAGCTTATCCTATGTGTCATGACCTCAAAAGAATACAGATAAGTAAAACAGCTCTCCAATTTATAGAGAGGTTGACAACAAAGGTATATTTTGGGAAACACATTTGCTAAAACCATGAACTCACAAGTTAAAAAACAACATTATATTCCCAGTATTTTTCCAAACTTTAAGACCATTATGTACGATACCAGGAAAACAGACCTTCTGGATGTCTTTTCCAGATTTATTATTTTTCTCAGTAGTTTTACATATTACAATCCCATGCTACAGTTTTAAGAAAAGCAGTGACCGTTAAGTGTAATATACTTAAGTATGGACTGCACTTTGGTATTGTCTTAGTCTCTACCTGTTGCTTAGAAACTCCATCTCCCTCCTTTCTCACCTCTCATCAGAAGGTTTTTGTCAACAATGTATCTAAAGCCCTATGTTTTCAGTCCACTGGCTTCTACACCCTTGTCACCACGTTTGGCCAACAATTCCAGTAGGACTTATATTCCTTTGACAGAGCTCTCAGAGAAGCCCATTCTTTTCCTTCAGCGCACTTTCTCAGGTTTTAATTACATAGTCACTAAAGTGATTACTTGATTATGGACTGTCTCTCCCATCAGATGACAATCTCCTTGAGAGCAGAGGCCATGTCTATTTTTGCTCACCACTACATTTTCAGAGACTGGCACAGGGGCTGGCATATAGCAGTTAATAGTTGTTGGGTGAATTAATGAATTCCATAATATCAAAGCTGCAACTGAATATATATATATATATTCTCCTATTCTGGATAGTTTTGGATATTTATATATATATATTGCTGGGAAAATCAATCTCACTATAAAATAGTCAATTGGGGTTCCATAAAAAGAATTAATCCCTAAAGAAAATGGTATGTGTGACTGTTTTCAGTTCTTCCAAATAAAATAGATAGTACTATTCCAGATGCATAAAAGAATTCATTCACTTCATAAAAATAAAATCCCCCTAGGGCTTTAGAGTTTAATTCTCTTCCAGAATCCCAGTTGAGGAGGGATGACGGCAAGGTTGCAACATGTATGTTACTAGTAGACATTGCTACTCCAGATTTAGGATGTAAAGAGTACTTCACTTATTAAGACCCATGAACATAATGTGTCATTCTACTCACTCCTGAATTCCATGAGAAATGACAAAGCTACTATGTTCCAAGTTACTAACAATCAGTGAAAGAGCAATGTTTTCTCCATTCATCCTAAACTCACTAGTTCAGAAGATTTTCAAATTGTCTAGTTAGCATAAACCTAGAAAAACCATTGATAGTATAGTTTTTCCTGCCCGTGAAAATAGTGTTTCCTGAAAAATCTCTCAAAAAGAGAATTTCTCAACCTAATACCATTGATGCCAATGGGGAAACTTTTTATGCATTTCCAAACTCCCAAATTTATATTCATGGATGCTTAAATCATATCACAGTTCTTTAAAACAGAGATGATCATGTCAATAATTAAAATTAGTTAACACAGTTTTCCTTTATTTTATAATGTGACTGCTTACATGACCTCATTATTTTATAGCTTAAGAATCAAACCAAAACATTAAAGTGTTTGTTTATGTAATTCAAACTTCAATGCAAAAATAAATAAATAAATAAATAAATAAATAAACAGACAGAAGGAAATGACAAGTTAAACAATTCAAGTGATATCTCACCAAACAAGTTGACCTCACAGCATGATGCACTTGACTATCACTGCCATAAACTCTCAAATCAAAAGCTACAAAGAAAATGTAACACTAGACTAGATGTACCAAATACACAACTACAAAGATGACCACATGGTGGCTCTCTTCAGGGAGCTCTGGAAGGAAAAATCCAAGTCATTCCTTATAAAGAAATATCTCACAAGCTAAAGTGAGGGTTTTAAATCAAATGCCTTATAAAGTTGAATGTTCATAACTTTAATGGGCATATTTAAGGGTATGCCTGTAATTTTCTTTAAATAATAATCATTTCCTTAAAAACGCCTGCATATATTGGTACACTTAACCATCTATTGAATAGGATGAAAAGTATTTTAAATACTTATGCTAAATTATAATTGGTTAAAGTAAAAACTCAAATTATGTTGAAGTAATAGAATGAATAGTAACATAGAACTTCATACAGATGACTGTCCTGACCCATTATTAACAGTTTTACAAGAAGAATAAAGCTCTGGCCTAGCAGTCATTTGTGAGCAGCAGGCCAACACTGACAAATGGATGATTAGTAGAACTCATCTTTTTCATGTGGCTTGATCCTGAGACAATGCATCGCTGCATTTGTACCATGATTTAATCAGTTAACTGACCAATTATTCTTTGATAAATCCCAGAGGAAATTTTCTTAAAGCTTATTATTGCCCACAGTGTCCTTTCTTAATCAAGAACCAATCTTCAGCTCTTATAATCCTGTTTTATTAGCAAAATATTTTTAAAATATTCTAAGTAGTATAATACCTTGACCAAAGATAATTCATTGCAAATAAATCTTTCTAAATAGGCAAATATTCTGAATAGCTTATATTTTATCTGTTTAATAAACTATAAAAATTCTCTTTAAATTATATTTTTACAAAAATCTTTCTCAAACTTACCACCTACTTTTCTAGTATGAACATTAGTATGGACATCCATCAATATATAGTGGATATTCTAGTGCCCTCAGGGCATGTAGGGAAATACTGGGTTATTGGTGCCTTTGCCAAATAATCCCAGTGTTTGGGGTTTTGAACTCTAATAATTGTTCTTTATTCTTTTTTTATTTCTCATACTTCAATGTCAAGCAGAGTTCCCTTTATTTCTTCTTTTTAATTCTTTATTGTTTAAAGTATTACATAAGTCTCCTTTTTCCCCCATTGAACACTCCCCGGTCGCCCCCAAACTCCAGCACATGCCCTCACCCCCCTAGTATCTGTAACCATTGGTTATGCTCATATGAATGTATACAGGTCCTTTGGTTGATCTCTTACCCCCTCACCCCTGCTCCCTTGCCTTCCCTTATAGGTTGGACAGTCTGTTCAATTCTTCTAAGACTCTGGTTCCATTTTTGTTCATCAGTTTATGTTGTTCATTATAATCCACAAATGAGTGAGATCATGTGATATTTATCTTTCTCTGACTGGCTTATTTCGCTTAGCATAATGCTCTCCAGTTCCATCCATGCTGTTGCAAATGGTAAGAATTCCTTCCTTTTTTACAGCAGTGTAATATTCCATTGTGTAGATGTACCACAGTTTTCCAATCCCCTCATCTGTTGATGGGCACTTAGGCTGTTTCCAAATTTTAGCTATTGTAAATTGTGCTGCCATGAACATAGGGGTGCATATATCCTTTCTGATTGGTGTTTCTGATTTCTTGGGATATATTCCTAGAAGTGGGATTACTGGGTCAAATAGGAGTTCCATTTTTTATTTTTTGAGGAAACTCCATAATATTTTCCACAATGACTGCACCAGTCTGCATTCCCACCAGCAGTGCACGAGTGTTCCTTTTTCTCCGCATCCTCTCCAGCACTTGTCGTTTGTTGATTTGTTGATGATAGCCATTCTGACAGGTGTGAGATGGTACCTCATCATTGTTTTGATTTGCATCTCTCAGATGATTAGTGACTTTGAGCATGTTTTCATATGTCTCTTGGCCTTTTGTATGTCCTCTTTCGAAAAATGTCTATTTAGATCCTTTGCCCATTTTTTTTATTGGATTGTTTTTCTTCCTTTTGTTAAGTTGTATAAGTTTCCTATAAATTTTGGAGATTAAACGCTTATCGGAGACAACATTGGCAATTATGTTTTCCCATGCCATGGACTTTCTTGTTGTTTTGTTGATGAGGGTTTCTTTTGCTGTGCAGATGCTTTTTATTTTGATGTAGTCCCATTTGTTTATTTTCTCCTTAGTTTTTATTACCCTAGGAGGTGTATCAGTAAAGATATTGCTATGACAAATGTCTGCTATTTTGCTGCCTATGGCTTCTTCTAAGATTTTTATAATTGCCCGTTTTATGTTTAAGTCCTTTATCCATTTTGAGTTTATTTTTGTGTATGGTGTAAGTTGGTGGTCTAGTTTCATTTTTTTGCATGTATCTGTCCAATTTTCCCAACACGATTTATTGAACACTGTCTTAACTCCATTGTATGTTCTTGCCTTCTTTGTCAAATA